CCCCACCTCCTAGGGGTGTAGAGACAAAGCACCGTGCACAATCCCTGAAAAATATCCGGTTCCTGTTGTTAGAACTGGAGGACAAGCTGTGGGAGATGTGAGCCGGGCAGCCAGCAGAGCCCACGCGTGAAGGGTCGGTGAGCACTGGGCCCGACCACGCCGGTGAGTCCTCAGCGATGATGGCGAGCTAAGTCACACCCTCCGCCCCGGACACGTGGGCAGGGGCTTAGGTCTGCAGGGCGGGGCACGCTGGCACGCTTCCCTTTCAGGCTTCCCTTGAGAGTTCCACACAGATGGTTTCCAAAGAGCACCTGGCAGGACCAAAAACAGGCCCCAAACGACAGGACCACGAGGTCCATGCAGGAACCCAGCCCAGGGAGTGAGTTCCGGCAGCTGTGGCCACATCTTGGGACCACACACCACACAGAGGCTCTCCTGTTCTCCTTCTCTCTCCAACCAGGAGGGGCCCAGGCTGCCCACTGGGGAATCACTGGAGGGTGTGCAAAGCAGCACCGCCATACTTCCCAGGGAACTCGCCACCCCAGGGGCAGCCCCAGACACCCTGCCGAGCCAGCGGCCAGTCGTAGGTGCAAGAGGCATATAAGGTAACCTACACGGCTATCGCTGACACACAGGAAGTGCAGGGCTGACCCCTCCGGCCCACACCTGTACGCCAGATACGAGGAGAATGTTGCTCACTTTGAAGAACTCCTGCTTCTTCTGCTACACCCAGAACTTTAACCCTCCGCCCTCCCTCGCCATAAGAAAACCACCAACCAAACACAGAACTAGCTGTTCCTCTAGGGTTTGGTAAAGAAACACGTGCAGCAGGGCTGCAGCGGCGTGGGGAGCTGTTCGAGCCTCACTTCCGCGGCGTCTGCCATCTGGGTCCGGCCTCTCAGATCTTCACTGACGAACAAATGTTATTCTCCCCAGGATACAGGTAACTATCACCGTGGTCACTCAACTGGATAGTCTATCAGTCAAAAAACATTTTTCTAAGACCGTCTCACTGTGACTACTGGAAGGTGGGCCAAACAGTAAAGCGTTATATGAACAGAGTCATCTTTTTAGAGCTTCTATCCCATTGACAATCGGATTAAAATGCTCTCCCTAGGGGCGCCTGGTGGCTCAGGTCACGATCTCACGGTTCCTGAGCTCGAGCCCCACATCTGGCTTTGCACGGACAGCACGGAGCCTGCTTGGGATTCTCTCTGCCCCTCCCCTACTTGTGCATGCGCTCATGCTCTCTCTCTCAAAAATAAACACAAAATATCTATTATATAAATATTCTCCCTAAGAAAAATGTTTAAATGCGTAACCTGCACATAATTTCTGAAATCACAAGGGGCCCTTCAAACAACTGGGAGAGCCTCCCTTGGTGGGAACCGAACCCCTTCGTCTCCTCTGTATCCTCGGGGCCTGGATTCAGCCAGGGTCTGTGGTCAGAGGAAGGAGGATTCAAGAATGACTGAGCCACCGTCAGACAAAAAGCAGAAGTCAGGATAAAACTGTCCATACATTCCAGGGGCGCTCAAGGGGCTCAGTTGGTTAAGCATCTGACTTTGGCTTAGGTCATGATCCCACGGTTCGTGGGTTAGAGCCCCACATCGGGCTCTATGCTGACAGCTCAGAGCCCAGAGCCTGCTTCGGATTCTGTGTCTCCCTCTCTCTCTGCCCCTCCCCCACTCACACTCTGTCTCTCTCTCTTCTTCAAAAATAAACAAACATTAAAAACATTTTTTAGGGGCGCCTGGGTGGCGCAGTCGGTTAAGCGTCCGACTTCAGCCAGGTCACGATCTCGCGGTCTGTGAGTTCGAGCCCCGCGTCGGGCTCTGGGCTCATGGCCCAGAGCCTGGAGCCTGTTTCCGATTCTGTGTCTCCCTCTCTCTCTGCCCCTCCCCCGTTCATGCTCTGTCTCTCTCTGTCCCAAAAATAAAAATAAACGTTGAAAAAAAGAAAAAAAAATTTAAAAAAAAAAAAAAAAAAATTTAAAAAAAAGGGGGGGGGTCAGCACAAAGAAATAAAAAATGTTATCAAAAGAGCAGCATAGAACAGAACAGACAGAGGCAGAAGGATTAATGGCTCACAAAGGCCCTACCTGGGGGATTGGTCCTCTTAGGTATGTTCTGAGGCTCTTCAGTTGGTCCAAAAATATTAGATGCCATCCTATTGGGCCTGCTTGAAGGAGCAGCTTCTTCTGGACTTCCAAAGAGATTGCTGGCCTCTCCTCCCGGGGGCTTCATGGCCCTACAAGCACAGAGGGAGTGTGAGTCACTGATGGCCCTGGACATCACCATTCAGGCAGTACGGCGTAACCACACAGGACAGATACACCTTCTGATGTCTAAGAAAAAAATTACAATTATTTGACACTAGCCCCTCTAGAAATGGCACACTTGCAAATTATTGTGACCCTGTGTTAAGTAAAATTAATTTCCCTAACACAAAGTGACAGCCACATTCAGTAGAGTTTAATGCTAATTTTAATTAGTACACGAGAGTACACAATACTACAAACACAATTCCTGGCTGGCTCAGTCGGTGGAGCGTGTGACTCTTGCTCTTAGGGTCATTAGTTCAAACCCCACGTGGGGTGTAGAGATTGTAGAAATTCCTTAAAGAATTAAATTTAAAAAATTAAAAATTTAATGCCACAAACGCATTCAGTAGTGTTTAATATCGTAGCTGACATTTGTTAAGTACTTACTATTTCCGTCAACTGTTCCAAGGAGTGCACGCAACAAACCCTCTAAGGCAGGCAGTATTTTCACAGACGGTGCATCAGAGACAGAGAAAAGTCAAAGAAAGGTCGTGTGGGAAGGAGCAGAACCAGAAGGCAGGCCCAAGCAGTATGGGTCTAGAGTGCAGACTACAGGCTCAGGCCTCTGTTAAAGGCCTCTAGAAGAAACGAGGGTCAGGACTGATCTGCGCAGTCCACACTAGAGTAATCACCTCGGGTCCTGAAGTCCGGTAAAACCAATAGAATGCCGATCAGAGATCGGAGGACACACCCACCAGCACAACTGCTGGCTTCACCTCAGCACACAAGCACCACGTGACCACTCGGGCACCCCCCCCC